GCTCACCGCAACCTCTGCCTCCTGGGTTCAAGCAATTCTCCTGCCTCAGCCTCCCGAGTAGCTGGGACTACAGGCGCATGCCACCACGCCCAGCTAATTTTTGTATTTTTTAGTAGAGACAGGGTTTCACCATGTTGACCAGGATGGTCTCGATCTCTTGACCTCATGATCCACCTGCCTCCCAAAGTGCTGGGATTATAGGCAGGAGCCGCCGCGCCCGGCCAAGTTTTAGTATTTCTTTATAACAGTTTGTCAGATTACATGCTGATGTTTTAGCAAACATATACATTAACCTAAGTATATAAATAGTTTACTTCTATTACTATAAGAAAATGGGTACATTGAGAGGGAATAGAAACAATATTCAGAGCCTTCCTCATGTTACTGAAGAACTCATCACCTCCTGAAGAACTGAGAGATTTAAGGAGTCAGAATGGCCTACAAATCTGGGGAGCCCAGGAGCCAGAAGAGTCTAGAGGAACAGTGCAGGCTTCACTTCAGATCTGGCCATCCCTCTGAATGTGTGGGGCACAGGAAAACATTTCAGTGGAACAAGTCATGACTCTGCATGTTGAATTTAACAAGAGGCAAATTCAACATCAGTGCACACTCAGTTTATAAATACCTTTGGATCACTGCAATTATTGTGCCCTCTACAGAATCCTGAGTCTCCCAACATTCTTTACTAAGAATATATATATAACTCTTAGCTTAAATAACAGAATGTTAAATCAAATTATATTTAAGCTTTTATTCATGTAGTTGTTCCATTCTTGTGACCTTGTAAGAAAGTCCTGATGTAGAGTAGGACCTTCTGCAGAGTATAACAGCCCTGACTTTTTTCTTGGGAGGGGAGTTTTTATTAGAGTGAACAGAATGATATACTTTAGAAGAAATGACATGAAGTCAGATCCAGGCTAGCTTCTATCAGTTCATGAAAGTTCCTTTTTAGTTGGTTGTATAAAGTAGCCCCAGGTTTGGGGTTGCCCATTCTTTCACAACATGGCAAAAATCAAGATTTGATCTCTGATAGCTTAACAGCATATATATACATAGATCTGATAGCTTAGCAACATACAGATTGATTGATGTCACTGTCTCCAATCAAGTGATTTCCAAGTTGCTTTGTGTGACTTTAAAAAAAAAAAACTGGGCTGGGCGCAGTGGCTCATGCCTGTAATCCCAGCACTTTGGGAGGCTGAGGTGGGTGGATCACCTGAGGTCAGGAGTTTGAGACCAGCCTGGCCAACATGACAAAACCCAGTCTCTACTAAAAATACAAAAATTAGCTGGGTGTGATGGCGGGTTTCTGTAATCCCAGCTACTCGGGAGGCTGAGGCAAGAGAATCACTTGAACCCAGGAGGCGGAGGTTGTAATGCACTGAGTTTGTGCCCTTGCATTCCAGCCTGGCTAACTAGCGAAACTCTGTCTCAAAAAAAAAAAACAAAAAAACTGTTGAGTTATGAGACTTTGAAGCATTTTATTATCCAAAGCCATGAATTGTATCAAAAAAACCAGAATTGGCCGGACAGGGTGTCTCATACTTGTAATCCCAGCATTTTGGGAGGCCAAGGTGGACAGATTGCCTGAGGTCAGGAGTTTGAAACCAGCCTGGCCCACATGGCAAAACCCCAGCTCTACAAAAAACAACAAAAAATTAGCCAGGTGCGGTTCTGCGTGCCTGTAATCCCAGTTACTTGAGAGGCTGAAGTGGGAGAACTGCTTGAACCCGGGAGGCGGAGGTTACATTGAGCTGAGATTGTGCCACTTTGCTCCAGCCTGGGCAACAGAGTGAGATTCCATCTCAAAAAATCTATCTATCTATCTATCTATCTATCTATCTATCTATCTATCTATCTATAAAACTGTGTATATAGTTATATATATATAAATTGGTCTCCCAATACTGTGTGTATATGTGTATATTTAAATATATATAACTAAAGGATTAGTGTGTTCTCTACTTAATTAACAAGCAGAAGTAAGGTTTCTATGTGTATGCTGAATTTTTCAAATGGAAAGATAGATTAAAAGTAGTTTTGTGTTTGTAATATATGATTTCAATAAGTAACTCTAAAATGCACTTTAATCAGTTTGAAGTTAAATTGCCAGTCCATTTAATTAAGGTTGTTACATTTGGGGATATACATTTATAATCCTAATTTTTTATAATAAGCATTACATCTTTCATAATCAGTGAAACATTGAGACCAAATTAAACCCCATTTCAGTTAACTAGTTAGTTTTTTTGCTCACAATGGTAGTGGAAATTCTTACATTTATAGGATAATTTTAAGAAACCAGGTTGCAGTTTCAGCACTTGGGCCATTATTTTCCAGGTCTGAAATACTTTCTTAGAAATAGGCTGTGCTGCCTCCAAGTAATAGGAGGTGCTTCAAGGCTTATTTTTTTAGGAGATACGAGTCATAGTCATTAATTTTCCCATATATACTTGTAGGTATATTGCTCCCTAGCAACATTAAAATAGCTTAATATGATAGAGAAGCTAGATAATTTAAATAAACTTGTTAAGAATATAGACCTGGGAATATGAAATTTGCTTTGTTTTTTACAAATATTTATTTCAGGAATAGTTTTATCTAACATTTATTCTTTTTTGTTTGTTTTTGTTTTTGTTTTCTTATCTATCATCTAATGTTAATCATATTTTCAGACTTTGGCTGAGATGCTTATCTGTGATTCTGCTGAATCTTTTCTTGAAGGAAATGCTTTTGCTTTTCTGGTTTGTATGCCAAAGACTTGCATCTATTTGGTTTGATATCTAAAGCCTTTTCCAGCATGTCTGTAATCCCAACTATCTGGGAGACGAAGGTAGGCAGATCTCTTGAGGCCAGGAGTCAGGGCTGCAGTGTGATATAATTGTGCCTGTGAATAACAATGACACTCCAGCCTGGGCAACATAGTGAGACTGCCATCTCAGCAAAACAAAACAAAAATAACAGTAAAGATTTTTGCAGCTTCCTGAAAGTCTCAGCTATGGCTACTTCTCTTAGAAAGACATCCTTGAAATTGCTACTTTCTTTCTTTTTTTTTTTTGAGACAGAATCTTGCTCTGTCACCTAGGCTGGAGTGCAGTGGCTCACTACATCTTGGCTTACTATGACCTTCGCCTCCCAAGTTCAAGTGAACTTCTGCCTCAGCCTCCCGAGTAGCTGGGACTACAGGCACACACCACCATGCCTGGCTAATTTTTGAATTTTTAGTAAAGACGGGGCCAGGCTGGTCTCGAACTCCTGACCTCATGATCTGCCCAGCTTGGCCTCCTAAAGTGCTGGAATTACAGGCATGAGCCACTGCACTCAGCCGAAATTGCTACTTTCATATCTTCTTTCTAAAGTCATTCTTCATAGGTTCCCGCTTCTCTAGGCTCCTCTTTTTTTTTTTGAAACAGAGTCTTGCTCTGTCACCCAGTCTAGAGTGCAATGGCACAATCTCAGCTCACTGCAACCTCTGCCTCTCTGGTTCAAGTGATTCTCCTGCCTCAGCCTTCCAAGTAGCTAGGATTACAGGCGTGCACCACCATGCCTGGCTAATTTTTTGTGTGTTTTTCAGGAGAGGCGGTGGTTCACTGTATTCGCCAGGCTAGTCTCGAGCTCCTGACATCAGGCCATCCACCTGCCTTGGCCTCCCAAAGTGCTGGGATTACAGGCATGAGCCACGACACCTGGCCTGGCTCTTCTTTTCTTTATTCTTGTCATCTAAGTGTTAAGAGATCCACACTAGATGCTGTTATATTGTGAATGACATTTTACTAAAGAGAGGGTGATAATTTTCCACTCTGCTTTCATAGAAAAAGAAAACTATTAGCCAGGCGCAGTGGCTCATGCCTGTAATCCCAGCACTTTGGGAGGCCGAGGTGGGCAGATCATGAGGTCAGGAGATCGAGACCATCCTGGCCAACATGATGAAACCCCGTCTCTACTAAAATACAAAAATCTTAACTGGGTGTGGTGGCGTGTACCTGTATTTCCAGCTACTCAGGAGGCTGAGGCAGGGGAATGTTTGAACCTGGGCAGCAGAGGATGCTGTGAGCCAAGATTATGCCACTGCACTACAGCCTGGGCAACAGAACAAGACTTCGTCTCAAAAAAAAAAAAAAAGAAAAAGTAAAAGAAAACTAGATTGCAGCTCTTTGCTGAGTATTGCTTGAAATTTATGCACAGTTAATAATGTAGTCAGCTTTCTAGCCACAGCTGTAGAATCGCTGCCTTGCATACATACTTTTCAGAATTGTTTTTTCCATAAGTATGTGTCACTTCCATGGAACTCAGTAGCATTTTGAAATAGTGGTTGGAACTTCCCAGTAGAGACATAATGAGATCTTTAATTGTTTAATAAGAGCTGAAAGACCTTCCTTATGGTAATTCCTTAGGATTCTTAAAAGCCCTAAGATCTTTTCTAATTTGATTTTTGCTGAATGTATTATGGAGTTAAAATAGAAACATAGATTTTCCAAACTCAAAATACTTTAGTGACCAATTGCAAAATAAGAAACAAGATGGCAGCAAACCATATAGGCTTGATAGATCTGTTCCTGAGAGGAAGACTGAAAAATCTTTTTTTCTAGTGGCCTTTATCCAGTGGGTATAGAGCTGTGAGAATTACTTCTACCCAACAACTATTGTCAGCTGTATAAATTGAATTCAGGTTTTTTTTTTTCCTTCCTCTGTCACCCAGGCTACAGTGCAGTGGCGCGATCTTGGCTCACTTCAACCTCTGCCTCCTGGGTTCAAGTGATTCTTGTGCCTCAGCCTCCAAGTAACTGGGATTATAGGCACCTGCCACCACACCTGGTTAATTTTTATATTTTAGTACAGCCGGGGTTTCACTGCATTGGCCAGGCTAGTCTTGAATTCTTGGCCTCAAGTGATCTGCCCACCTTGGCCTCCCAAAGTGCTGGGATTACAGTTGTGAGCCACTGTACCTGGCCTGGATTTAGTTTTTATTTTATTTTAAATTGGATCTATTTGAAAAGTTACACTATAGTGATTAGGTGCCACCTGAGTTGCTTTTTCCCACACAGGCCCTAAATTGACTACTTTTTAAAGTTGTGGCATTTTCATAAACTCATCTTTTTCTAAACAAAGTGAAATTTTCAATAGGAATTGAGAGACGTGGTTAATCACATTGGATTGGCACTTGTATATTATGCTGAGTTTCTGTAGAGTTTTTGTCAGGGTTTACGTATCTGAAGTCATTTCATTTTAAGAGAAATGAGAGTATGCAAAAGACCACTAATTAGCTATGTGAACTTTGGTCAGGTACTCTTAATTTACTGGGCACCTATAGTAGGCTTCATTAAATGGGTTTTAATAAAACAAATACTAGCCCTGCCTGGATCACGGTAGGGTTGCACTACCTCTCTGCTCCAGACAACTTTGTTTTTTTACACCTGTGCCATTGTATTGTAAGTCTTTTTTTTTCCCCCCAGACATATTCTGTTTGTGTATTTTTTTCTCTTTTTTTCCACTGTAAGTCTTTATGTCTATAATTAACTCTATTTTTTTTATGCTGTGTATTCCTGAAGCTAGGTACCATAGCAAGTATCAGATTATAGCTAATAAAGGGCTTCAAAAACTTTAAAATCCATGGACATTTTGGACATTATACCACTCGATCTTAATTCTGTCATCTTTTTTGGCAGGCAGTTGCCTGCTGAGGTACGGTATGAGGACTGGGTAGATAAGAACGTTCAGCTTCCTAGTGGGCTCCCCTGTCACTACCCTGGCAAAAGTGGAACACTGACTCACCGCCTCACATTGCAGGCAGGGGAGGTGGAAGTTCAGTTTCCCCTTGGTCTTGTGTCACCTTGCTAAAAGTAGGACACAATTGCACCACCTGACTTCCATCACCTCATTGCCTCCTAGTGGCAGTATAAGCTCGGTTCTCTGCTGACTGACACCTGGAAAGGGGTTGTGAGTCCCTCAGGCACCTCTTTGTGTCTGTCACTGCCAGGTGGGGATGGAAGCTGAGCTCACTGCTGGATTCTGATGACAGTCAACCCCACTGCTTAGCCTGGTCAACCCCACTGGGTAGGGGAATGGAAGTGCTGCTGCCCGCTTCCACGGGAGTGGGGTAGATGATTACCTCCTGTTCAGCCCCACTGAAACCGTGGCGGAGGAGGAGTCACAGTTTTTCTGTTGGTGTCTACTGGCATAAGGTGGATGTTGCCAAGAAGATTTCTATTTTGTGAGCTGCTACTTCTCAGTCTTTAGGCTAGGAGCAGCAGACTTTACTGGGAGTTTTGTTTTTTAAATCTGTTCCTGTTAGCAGTTACATGTTGGAAGCTTCTGCAGTGTCCTGTCCAGGTTATGTGGGAGGCAATAATGATATCCAGGAACTCATTGCTGTGTTGTTCCACCACCTTTCTATCATTCCAAGTCTTCCTATGCTTGCGGTGTTCATGACTTTTCAGTTATAAATGGAAGGACCTAGGAGCAAAGGGACTACTCTTGTTTGGCCGGAACGAGAAGTCACATCATTTTTCAAATGGAGAGGCTAACCCTTTTAATCAATTATTAGTGAAAGCAGCAGCAGGATATATGTGATTATATGTATATATAGCGGGATCTTGCCCCATCGCCCAGACTAGAGTGCCATGGAGCTGTCATGGCTTACTTCCGCCTTGACTTCATGGCTCAAGCAATCCTCCCACCTCAGCCTCCTGAGTGGCTGGGACCACAGTCATGAGCCAGCATGCCCGAATTAAATTTTTTGTACAGACAGAGTCTTGCTGTGTTGCCCAGGCTGGTCTTGAACTCCTGAGCTCAAGAGATTCTCCTGCTTTAGTCTCCCAAAGTGCTGGAATTACAGGTGTGTACCACTGCACCTGGCCAAGGCAGTGATTTCCAAAGGCAGTGAATTATCTTAGGTGTCTACTTTTTTTTTTTTCTCCAAAGTTCTTGTTAAGGTATCTATTTTTAAAAAAGGGTTTTGAAGACAAAATAACTTGAACATGACTGCTCTAGCATACTTCACTAAAAATTAAATCTAGAACTTGTTTTCCCATGCTTCTCTTTCACAGCTAGACATTGATTCATTGGGAAGCTGGCACTCTTATTTATTCCTGTTTTTCTAGCACTTGAATGTGGCCAGCATGTGATACCTGTTCAGAACATGTTTGTGAAGGGATGGAGTCATTTATGCAGCTCCATCTTCTCTGCCCTTGTATTCCTTTACTCCATCCTCCATCTTAGGGAGTTTTTTTCTCTTGCCAGGTATCCTGGATACAGCCATCGTTGATCGGGGGAGGAATGTGGTATCTGGTTCTCGAGATGGGACGGCACGACTTTGGGATTGTGGGCGCTCAGCCTGCTTGGGAGTCCTTGCAGACTGTGGCTCTTCCATCAATGGAGTGGCAGTGGGTGCTGCTGACAACTCCATAAACCTTGGCTCTCCTGAGCAGATGCCCAGTAAGTTGAAAATGATAGGTAAGCTTGTTTTATTTTCTTAGGTCCCCTTCAGTTTTTGCCTTAGTTTCCCCTTTTCTTCCTCATCCTTTTCTGCTCTGTACCTGGTATTTCTGTTTTCACCATACAATTAGTATTTATTCTGTACCTACCATGTTTCTATTGCTTTGGAATCTATAAAGGAAGTATATGTCATAGCACTGTGCTTGAGTAAGTACCATCTAATTTAGCAGATGAGAAAAATGCCTATAAAACAGGATTGTCTGATCTTTTGGCCTCCCTGGGCCACATTGGAAGAATTGTCTTAGGCCACACATAAAATACCCTTAACCTTGATGATAGCTGAGCTAAATAAAAAATAAATCTTATAATGTTTTAAGAAAGTTTATGAATTTGTATTGAGCCTCATTCAAAGCCATCCTGGGCTGCAGGTTGGACAAGCTTGCTGTAAAACATTTAGAGAACAGTAACATTTTGGCTGAAATAATTAGTGATTCTTTTTACTTATTTTATTCTTTTAGAGTCCTGCTGTTTTGCCCAGGCTGGCCTTGAACTCCTAGGCTTAAGTGACCCTCCCACCACAGCCTCCCTAATAGCTGGGACTATAGATGTGCACCACTATGTCTGGCAAATTAGTGAGTCCTAATGCAAATATAATAGTTTCAGAGGGATGGCGTGTTCCCGGTTAGTGTAGATAGGAAAGATGTCACAAAAGAAATTGGCTTAAACATTCAAAGTATAGGTTCATGTTGAACAGACAGGATTGGTAAGGATAGGAGAATGGGAGCTAGGGCAAGGGGTAAGTGTAGGGGCAGTTTGCATAACAGCTTGGATGTGAAACTGAGTGTTATATGAAAGGATATGCTTGGCTGGGCTAGAAAGTTGATTTAAGAGGCTAGGCGCGGTGGCTCACTCCTGTAATCCCACCACTTTGGGAGGCCGAGGCAGGCGGATAACCTGAGGTCAGGAGTTCGAGACCAGCCTGACCAATATGATGAAACCCAGTCTCTACTAAAAATATAAAAATTAGCCAGGTGTGGTGACATGCGCCTGTAATCCCAGCTACTTGGGAGGCGGAGGTTGCAGTGAGCTGAGATTGTGCCATTGCATTCCAGCGTGGGCAACAAGAGCAAAGCGAAACTCTGTCTCAAATAAAAAAAGAAAGTTGAATTAGAGGGGTAGTAGTGGGAAATGGGTTAAAAAGCTGTGGTGAGAGAATAATAAAGGTCCTAATAAGGTAACTTTAATTCTTATTTTTCCGTGATAATAATTACATTTCTGTTCCATAGGACAATTTTTTTTTCTACCATTGTCTGAGCCCCTCACATTTTAAAAAATAGACCTTATTTTTTAGCACCCTTTTAGATTCACAGCAAAATTTAGCAGAAAGTTTTGCCCTAACCACCCACACATAGCCTTCCTTACTATCAGCATCCACCACCAGAGTGGTACATTTGTTGCAGCTGATGAACCTATGTGACACATCATTATCACCCAAAATCCATACATTAGGGCTTACTCTTGGTATTATACATCCTATAGGGTCTGACAAATGTACAGTGACATGTATTCACCATTGTAGTATCATACATAGTAGTTTCTTAGCCCTAAAAATCCTCTGTACTCTGTTCAGGCAATCCTCCTGCCTCTCAGCCTCTCAAGTAGCTAGGACTATAGGCATGCACCACCACACCTAGCTAATTTTTTTTTTTTGTAGAGACAGGGTCATGCTATGTTGCCCAGGCTGGTCTTGAACTCCTTGCCTCAAGAGATCCTCCCATCTTAGCCTCCCAAAGTGCTAGGATTACAAGCATAAGCCACTGTTCCTGGCTCTAAAGTAATTTAAATGAAAATATTACTTCTTGTTTTCTGTACTTTTTAATTTCCCAGTTACTCTTCAGCCTATTCTAGGATGGTTTATGCCCAAGTACTTGACCAGAATAGCTGTTGTTAAAGTCACCAGTGACCTTCCTTTTTTTTTTTTTTTTTTTTTTTTGAGATGAAGTCTTGCTCTGTCACCCAGACTGGAGTGCAGTGGTGCAATGGCGCAATCTCTCAACTCACTGCAACCTCTACCTCCCAGTTCAAATGATTCTCGTGCCTCCCGCATAGCTGGAATTACGAGTACCCACCACCATGCTTGGCTAATTTTTGTATTTTTAGTTGAGCCGAGGTTTCACCATGTTGGCCAGGCTGGTCTTGAACTTCTAACCTCAAATGATGCCCCCTCCTTAGCCTCCCAAAGTGCTGGGCTTACAGGCGTGATCTTCAGGCCCCAGCCACCAGTGACCTTCCTATTGCCTAATCCAATCTTATTTCTCTAAGGTTGTCTTTCTGAATTCAGTGGTATTTCATGTAGTAAACCCTCTCCTCAAAAAACATTTTTCTTTCATGGCTTCTGTGATACCACACAACACTGGTTTTCTTCCTATTTCATTGACTGCTACTTCTTAAAGATCTCCTTTTATGAAACTCCTCTCTTCTACCTTTAAATAATAGAGGGCCCCACTATTAAGTCCTGGGCCCTCAGCTGTAACTACAGTTTCTCCCTTTGTGATCTCATCTATTCTATAGCTATCATTATTTAAACTGATGACGATTTCCAAAGTTCATATAAAGCATAGACCTCTTACCTGAGTTTCAGGCTCTATTTCGATGTCTAATAAATAAGTTGAACTTACCTTGTTTAACAAGGAGTATTTTACCCCTCCCCACCCCAGACTATTTTTTTATCTCAGAAAATGGCACCACTATCTACCCATTTGCTCAAGCACCAAGCTTGAGATTCACTCACAGTTCACCCCCTCTTTCCTCATGTCTCACATCAGCAAAGTCTATCATCTTCTAACTTCAAAGTGTTTCTAATTTTTCTATTTCTCTCTCTCCCTCCCCATCTCTCCCTTCCTTCTGCCAACATCATGGTCCAATCTATCATCTATTGCCTGTACTACTGCCTAGACTATTCTCCTATAACCCATTCTTTTCAGAACAATCACTGTGGTCATTTAAGAAAATCATAAGTCATGTCATACTCCTGCTTAAAACTCTCCAGTGGCCTCCCTTTATACATATGTTGAAATCATAACCCCTTAGCATGGCTTGCAACAAGCTCTTATACTTTCTGACCGTGGCATGGCATTTCTCTCTATTCTCATGTCATACCACCCTCTGCCAGGCCCACTACATTTTGGCTGCAGGCCTTTAGTTTCTTCTTTCGATACAGTGGACTCTCCCAGTCTCCTGGACTTTGCTTTCTTCTTCTTTTTTTTTTTTTTTAATTGAGATGGAGCCTCCCTCTGTCACCTAGGTTGGAATGCAGTGGCACATTCTCGGCTCACTGTAACCTCCACCTCCTGGGTTCAAACCATTCTGCCTTAGCCTACCAAGTAGCTGGGATTATAGGTGTACGCCACTGTACCCGGCTAATTTTTGTATTTTTAGTAGAGATGGTTTTGCCATGTTGCCCAGGCTAGTCTTGAACTCTTGACCTCAAGTGATCCACCCACCTTGGCCTCAAAAGTTCTGGGTACATGAGCCACCACACCTGGCCTGACTTTGCCTTCTTTTTCCCTTAGTCTGGAGTATACTTCCTGCAGCTCTTCACATGACTGGTTTCTGTTCATTATTCAGGTCTCACCATTCAGTTGAAAAGTGAGGCCGGGCATGGTGGCTCACGCCTGTAATCCCAACACTTTGGGAGGCCAAGACGGGCGGATCAGTAGATCAGGAGTTTGAGACCAGCCTGGCCAACATGATGAAACCCCATCTCTACAAATAAAAAAAATTAGCCAGGTGTGGTGGCGCACGCCTGTATTCCCATCTACTCTGGAGGCTGAGGCAGGAGAATCGTGTGAACCCAGGAGGTGGAGGATGTGATGAGCAGAGGTCATGCCATAGCACTCCAGCCTGGATGACAGAGCAAGACTCCATCTCCAAAAGAAAAAGAGAAAAGTGACCTCCATAGAGGCTTTTTAAAGTTGAAGTTTGGGCTGGACATGGTGGCTCACACCTGTAATCCCAGCACTTTGGGAGGCTGAGGTGGACAGATTGCTTGAGCCCAGGAATTTGAGACCAGACTGGCCAACATGGTGAGACCCCCATCTCTATACAAAAGTTTTTTTAAATAACTAAAGTTGAAGTTTAAATTTAAAGTTACCCTCCCCAGTTAGCCTCCCACCATCTATTCACTTCTGATCTTATTTTCCTATTTTATTTTCTTTTAGAACTCATCACTTTCTGAAAGTGTTCTACTTGTTTATTTACCTATTCAGTAGACCCTTTGAGAGTAAGGACCTTATCTGTTTGTCCATCACTATTTCCTTAGCAGTTTGAATAGCGTGTGATGTCATCACATAGAAGATGATGGTAAAAAAAAAAAAAAAAAAAAGAATAGTGCCTGATACATAGTAAGCCCTAAAGAAATATTTGATGAGTAAATGAATAAATTTCATTTCCTCCAGGCTGTAAGATCTTTGAGGTCAGGGACTGTTTTTTCCAGCATTGTATCCCTGCTTCAAGTGTGGTGTCTTATCACAGTACAAACAACTTAATATTTTAAAAGTTGGATTTATTGCCAGTCATGGTGTGCACACCTTAGTCTCAGCTACTCCGGAGACTGAGGCAGGAGAATTGCTTGTGCCCAGGCATTCAAGGCTGTAGGGTACCATGATTGTGCTTGTGAATGGCTCCTGCACTACACCCTGGACAACATACCAAAAACAAGTAACACACACACGTATTTTAAAAATGAATTTGGATTTACTGAGGTATTTTTTACATATGGTAAAAGTCACGCTTCTCCTTGGCTATTGGATACCATTAAAAAACTTTTTTTTTTTTTTTTTTTTTGAGGTGGAGTTTCGCTCTTATTACCCAGGCTGGAGTACAATGGCGCGATCTCGGCTCACCGCAACCTCTGCCTCCTGGGTTCAGGCAATTCTCCTGCCTCAGCCTCCTGAGTAGCTGGGATTACAGGCACGCGCCACCATGCCCAGCTAATTTTTTGTATTTTTAGTAGAGACAAGGTTTCACCATGTTGACCAGGATGGTCTCGATCTCTTGACCTTGTGATCCACCCGCCTCGGCCTCCTAAAGTGCTGGGATTACAGGCGTGAGCCACCGCACCCGGCCAAAAAACAGTTTTAAAATGTAAAAATAAAGTCAGTCTTTTTAATTGTATGGTTCTGTAAGTTTTGACAAATATGTCCAGTTATGTAAATAATACCACAGTGAGATACAGAACATAACAAATGTTTTCTTTGTAATAAGTGAATTGCTAACATAGAGTATAATCAGTAATCAACCATTAGTATTGGTGCTTTGTGGGCACTGCCAGCCGATCGGCCTCACTGTTACTAACACAGTTCATTTGTCATGCAGGTGAACGGGAGGTTGGAACAGAGGCAAAAATGCTGCTGTTGGCCCGGGAAGATAAGAAACTTCAGTGCTTGGGACTACAGAGCAGGCAGCCGGCAAGTGCTTCCTATATGACCTTTGAACTCGGAGGCAACCTTAGTCACTCTGTTTCTTAGAAAGCTATTTTGGAAACATTTCTACTTGTTCCCTGTGTTCACTTTTGAGAAACCTGCATAAGAGGCAGTATAGAGTAATGATTAAGAGTGTGGGATTTGAAATAAGGGCAACATTTAAATCCCAGTTCTTTTTTTTTTTTTTTTTTTTTTTTTTTTTTTAAGACAGAGGCCCGCTCTGTTGCCCAGGCTGGGTGCAGTGGCACAATCTTGGCTCAGCTCATTGCAACCTCTGCCTCCTAGGTTCAAGTGATTCTCCTGCATCAGCCTCCCGAGTAGCTGGGATTACAGGCCCTCCATCATGCCTGGCTAATTTTTTTGTTTTCAGTAGAGACAGAGTTTTGCCATGCTGGCCAGGCTGGTCTCAAACTCATGACCTCAAGTGATCCATCCTCCTCAGCCTCCAAAAGTGCTGGGAGTACAGGTGTGAGCCACTGTGCCTGGCCCTAAATCCCAGTTCTTGTGCAACACTTGAAGATAATAATAAAATAAATCTCAGTACTTCTATTAATAGAAGTATTAATACTTTATGGTTATAGCATTGGACAAGTTACTTAACCTCTTTGAGCCTGTTTTTTCTTCACTAAATTAGGTATAATAGGGTATGTGTTGAGGATTAAATGCTCTAGTGTTTTGTGATCTTTGTTAAGTCACTTTTCCTCTCTGGGCCTTAGTGTGCTACCTAAAATGATGAAGTTGTATAGCTTTTCTTTCTTTATGAGTCCTGCTACCTCTAAGGTAATGTAAAAAAATTTTGAGTAAAGAACTCATGTTACCAGGCATGGTCTCATGCCTGTAATCCCAGCTTTCTGGGAGGCCCAGAAAGGGTGGATTGCTTGAGTCCAGCAGTTCGAGACTGGCCTGGACAAAAGACCCCATCTCTATTAAAAATATAAAAATTAGCTGGGCATGGTGGCATGCACCTGTAATCCCAGCTACAGTTACTTGGGTTGCTGAGGTGGGAGGATCACCTTAGCCTGGAAGGTCGAGGCTGCAATGAGCCAAGATTATGCCACTCCACTCCAGCCTGGGGAACCAGAGTGAGACCCTGTCTCAAAAAAAAGGACTCATGCATTCAGGACTCTTGATCAGTTAATGAACAGAACTATTAGTTGAAGTTTCTTCCTACATCCTCTGAAGTTTTCTGGGCAGATTATGCTCTTAACTAAATTCTCTCTTCCCAGAAATTAGATTTTTAAAATGTCCTTCTAGCTCCTATAATCGTCATCCAGACAACTGGAATGATTTGCTTTGGCCACAGGGTTTGCTGTTTTCATTTCCTCTTGTTAATCCATTGTGCTGGTGATGTTTCCATTTTCAAAGTTTGTTTCAGGAACATTACAGTTTTTGCTAATGCTGGCTTTTACTTCCAGAGAGAAACCAGGGTTGTTTATTTTGATTTTGGCCTTTTTTTTTAGAATGTTTGGGGAAGACATCAGTTTGAGCTAACAGTAAGGAATTAATGAAAATCTAATAACGTATTTCTCAGATTCATGGGGAGAATTGTGATTCTTTACATTGCTGCTTTATTTAAGCCTGTTTATTTTCCTACAAAATACCCTCCTTCAAAACGTTGAAGTAACATGGAGCAAAACTTACATGGGAGAATTGCACATGGCTCTCAAATAGAAGGTGTCATGAAAAAGGGGAAAAGAAGGAGTTTTGATGGTGAGGATCCTGTGAGACAGTATGTTGAGTGGTAGTAGTTGGAAAACTGCCACCTCAGAATATGTTACATAAACTGCTCAAGTCCTTAGCCAACCTCAGGTTCCTGAAATTCTGGGAGTACTGCTTCTCAGTTTTTGGTGAATGTGTAATTTACCATTTGAGAATAATTAAGGGGGGAAGGAAGAAAATATCTCAAAAAATAGTGAAATTTTTCCTTTTTTGGTGCCTGTTTATTCCTGGAAACAAACTAATCTTTAAACAGCATTTTTGCCTACTACTTGTTCCCAGGTGTTCCTCTTTATTGGCTCAGATGCTTTCAACTGCTGTACTTTTCTCTCTGGCTTCTTGCTATTGGCTGGGACTCAAGATGGAAACATTTATCAGCTGGATGTGAGGAGTCCAAGGTGAGTCACCATTCATTACATGATGTAGGTCTTCTACAGAGTGGAAATTTTTATTGGCTTTAACATTGATTTAGCCTAGCATATAGATGACTATTGAATCAAGGGTATATTTTTCCATTTATAAAGGTTTTCCAGTCCGAATTTTCTGATTCTTCTTATTATTCCTGGACTCATATTAAAAGATAATATGATTCATACTGTCATGATTGTCTGACTAACGATTGCTTTGAAAATTAAGCTTAAATATGAACTAACATTTCATTTAAATTGGTTGTCTATAACTTTTAACCTTAAAGAGCTCAGTAATTTTCTCAGACTTTAGACCCTGGCTAGCCTAAGATTAATCATTTTTAGTTCAAGGAACCCAGCTCTGTTTGTTATGTAGTTTTGATCATGACTTTTCGAAAACAGGCTTTTTCTTGGTCTTAAAGATATCCCGGCTGGGCACAGTGGCTCACGCCTGTAATCCCAGCACTTTGGGAGGCCAAGGTGGGCGGATCATAAGGTCAGGAGTTTTCGAGACCAGCCTGGTCAACGTGGTGAAACTCTGTCTCTACTAAAAATACAAAAATTAGCCAGGTGTGGTGGCACACGCCTGTAGTTCCAGCTACTCAGGAGGCTGAAGCAGGAGACTCGCTTGAACCCAGGAGGCAGAGGTTGCAGTGAGCTGAGACCACACCATTACACTCCAGTCTGGGTGACAGAGCAAGACTCCGTCTCATAAATAAATAAATAAATAAAAATAAAGATTGCCAAAGAGAATCATACAATCTCTCTGTTGCAGGATTTAACAATTTCTACAATTCTGTCCCTTCCTCCTTTGATTTCCTTCCTTTTCAGCTGATATTTATTGAGTAGCTTCTGTGGGTACCAGGCTTGGTGCAGGGCACTGAAAAACAGAAATAAAAGATACAGACTCTGCCGTTGAGGCACTTGGAATCTAATGGTAAACACAAGTAAAAGACTATTGTGCAGTGTGATCACTTGTCTGACAGCACTATCCACAGAAATTTAAGGAAAAGGAGAGGGAAGGAGGTAAGACTGCTTCTCCAAGGAAATGAGAAATATTGGGTCTTGTTGAGTAGGAAGTTACCAATTAAGGAGGAAAAGAGCTTGCCTCGGTAGAATCTCATTTGTAGAATCTCATGTATAGAATCTCATATATGAAGGCATGTGATGATGGGTTGCTTTGAGGGGTCTGTGACGGGTATGGTCCTTGCAGATGGGGGCAGTGGTGAGAAGTGATGCCAGACAGGAAAACAGGAGCCACTTAGACCTTACCTGTCATTCTAAGTTTATTCCAAGAGGAGGGAAGAAATTCCTGTAGATGGTGACTAGCTTATACCTTTTCTTCCATTATTTCAGTTACTTAATTTTTTCTTTTTTTCTTT